AATGTGGAATTGTGGAAGAGAGTTCATACCTATTGTTGTACAGTGCATGACTTTTAAATTGACCAGTCAGTAGGGGCAGTGAGTCATCCCACTCAGCTACTGGTAACCCTACAAGCCAAAGCCCTAACAGGTAGGGTGGTCCTAACTGGACAAGCAGCAGGAAAGCTTGCTAGACAGCAATATCAATGGCAAGCTATGCAGTTTTAGCTGGTTGGACTCCATCAGTATCTCAACACACACTCTGGAGTCCCCAAGCCTTAGCTCCTGCTAACCTACGCCTAATATTTTTCGGAATTAGGTAAGCAGGATGTGTCTCTTCAGGGAGAGAGTGCACATTCCATTCCAACAATTTATCTCTGGGATTTCGATGTGTAGGTGAGATACATGGAAATTTCAGCTTGGTTTGGATACTCTTAAGCATGGTGATGGGTTTCCGCATATGTCAGACACCCAGCTGCCCCCAAATATGACTTAAGTTTAGTCTATTTAGTGAATACCCTATTTGTCAAGATATTTGTATGATCTCTGTTGGAAAAATTGTGCATAAGCACTTGCTGAAAATGAAAATAATTTGTCTTGGTTGCTAAATGTTTCCAGAAGTTCAGTTCTATATTAAAAACTTTAAGATGAAGCTAAAACTGTGAAGTAAAATAAAATGCAGGTTTCAGCAGTCTCTTTATGTACAGTAGGTCTAAACTGGATGAAATTAAACAAAATTTAGGAATGCCAGGATTGTAAAGAAGTATTAAATAATCCCGTGTGCTGAAGAAATGCTTAGGTCAAGGTGTTTATTAGCACACAGGAGCTGTTTGTTGTTGAATACACTTGAGGGTTGCTAAGTTTATTGCTATTACACTACATGTGTTGAAATTTTAATTAAAAAGATTGCTTGACAAAAAACTTATAATGAGTTTTTGCTTAGGAGAGAGATTCTGCTCTGCTGTAGCTCCAGTTTTGAATTGATGAGGTCATGTAGTCAAGTGCTGCTGATAAGTGTGGGCAATGTAATGTATAATTTTGTGTGACAGAATTTGAATGGCTACCAGTGAGCCAATGTAAATGCTGATTCTTCTCTGTGACTGGCCTAAATTATGCAGTATAAAATGCAGTCCGAGAAACATATTGCCGGTGCATAAAAATATAAATTTAACTGGTAGATAGTACTAAAAAAATGGTCCCAATGAAGGTCAAGTTACGGCATATAAGACCTGTGTGCAAACAGTCCTCCATTATGGATCCACAGGAGAGGCTACCTCCGACCCATTTGGAAAGTCCAGGATCAAGCAGTGAGGTGGATTTGTGGAAAACACGGGGAGTGGCTGCAGGGAGGGAACCTGTTAGGTTTGGATACTCTTAAGCATGGTGATGTGTTTTTGCATGTGTCAGATAGCTGGCTGACCCCCCGAAAAATTGGTGTGATTGAAGGGAGAGAGAAACAAAGAGGATTTATTAACTAGAACTCACTCTGTTGAGAGTTCAGTTGCTCTTTGATGTTCTTCCATTTTTTCAGTGACATTTCCCGGTTGATTCAGAAATGTATGTGAAGAGTACATTTTTAAAAATTGAGAACCTAAGTGCAAGGTCAGGCTTCATGCTGAACCGCACAGCTAAGATGCAAAAGAGGCAAGATTAAGTGATTTGGTGATACCAATGTTTGTTTTTAAACTGTGTAAAATAATTTAAGAACAGATCTGAATGTGACTGTGTAATGTGAGGACATTGGATTGATATGCAGAAGGTTTGAGATCAAATGGGCTGAAGGGATTTTTCACCCGAACTTTTCTTGTGAAGATAATTGTAGCTTGGGAAGAACAGAATGGTAAGTTTGGAGGAGTAGTGACTATATCCATATCACTCAAAGAGAGCAAGAATGAATGGAAAATGGAAGTGATCAGATGACCGGCCTTCGCTTCTATCTATCTAGAAGTGAAAAAGAAGCCTTATAACAGCTTAATCAGACATGTGAGTAGTGTTCAAGTTTGGAAAGAAATCAGGTTTTAAAGAGAGTTGAGAGTCGTTGAGGTGAAAAATAATGTTTGTTACAAAAGAGGAAACTGGTTTATTTTAGCAATGGCAATTTCACTCAAAGTGGAGATCGTCGGGTCAGGAATATCAAAGGATGAAGAAAGATTAAGAATACCCCTAGAAGATGTGAGTGTAGTGCTGTTGGGTTTCATAGATTTTCAAGAGACGCGCAGAAATTGTGGGGGTGATTCGCCAACTGTCTATAAATTTTACCAAACACAAAATCAAGTTCCAAGGATTATAACTAACGATTGTAAAATCACTCTATGTGTATTTGAGGAATAAAAAGAAAAGTAGATGAGCGATGTCCCATTGACGGTCATGGAGTTATTCAAGGTGCTGTGATTCAGTCATTGCATTGCGGAAGGAGGGAAAGATTGTGTGCAATGAGGATGTGTGACCTGAAGAAAGTAAAGTGGAATCATCCATCAACAAAAAAGTGGATTAAAAGAGAGGAGGCTGTTGATGTACATTGATGGTGTACATGGCGCAAAAGTGTGTAATTTTTGAGAAACTAGTTTGCTTCATCTATGACAATGTGTGTAGATTTTAATTTTACCCTTTTACTTGTTTATCCAACCTTGATTTTGTATACAAGTTCCGGGGAATGTTTACAAAATGAGGGACCTGAAACTCCACCAAGTCTAATCCTGTAAGAACCTTTTATCTTAAAAATGAAGAATCCAATATTCTTAAATTCATTCTTAATTGGGAAGCCGGTTGCTTTTAAGAATTGCAGAAAATCGGCTTCCAAATAAATTCTGCACAATCTTAAAACTTTAAGACAAAATGGTTTCACATGCTAAGACTAGACGGAATTTTATGCTTCAAATTCTCATGTCATTTTCATTTTACTGTTTCCATTTTTCTTAGTTATAATAATGATAATCCTTGCATTTGACATAGCCCCTTATCACGTCATTGAAATATCTCAAAGTTTTCAGATATCTAGTTTTCAGATATTCTCAATGCACTCTAGATGCTATCTTTCTTATGCATTTTATATATTACAATTTTTGATCCAGTATTTTCACATAATATAAATTGACATCAATAACATACTCATGTACAATTTGAGGACATAAAAAAATTAGATGGAATTGTTGCACATTACTGAGATTCTGTAATAAATTCCTGACAACATAGCTTTTAATCCGTTGTCTGACAAAAACATATAGTTCTATAGTAAGCTAATGCTTAGTCAATAAGGAATACATTTTTTGCTGGAGTATTTTTGAGAAACTAATTTCATGTTTCTGCTGTATAAATGTATGTTTGTCGAAGGCCTTCACACCAAATGCGCATCAACAATTCTATTGATAAGAATTGAATCATATGTAGAATATATAGATTACTTGCCTATGAATCCATTACGTAGAGAATAAGAGATGGCAGAAAGTATTTTACGAAGCTGTAACACATTCCAAGGGGTTCAGATTTAGGAACAAAAATTAAATCTAGTGAAATTGAAGTACTCTACACGACTGGAGCACCAGTGACTGAATGTTATCAGTCAAGTAACACCTTCTTTGACTAGCAAATCTAAATTATCCGTCATCTGACTGGAGGGAAATACAAGGCTATTCTAAGTGACTGCTTAGGTTATATTTATTTCAATAAATTTCACCACTGCGATTGCTCCTTTTGAGGTCATGAGGCAGTCTGATCCATTATGGAGAGATTTATCTTTGCTTTAAATCAAATTCTGTTACAGTATCACAGTAGAACGCGGCAATTATGCTGAAGAAGAAACATACCCCAACATTAGATAATTATTTAGGAATGACAAGTTTGCAGGGCTATGGGGAGAGAACGGGGGAGTGGGATTGAATTGGATAGCTCTTTTCAAAGAACTGGCACAGACACGATGGGCCGAAAGGCCTCCTATCTGTGTTGTATAATTCTATGATTCTATGATCTGTTTGTTATAGGGAACGAACAAGTGAGTCAAATATTACTTGGTGTGTAGTATGTATAGCTAATATCTAATGATGCTGCATTTCCCCACCCTTCTCTGGTTATATTATTATTATAGAACAGTAAAATACTCCTCACACTATCCTCAAAGTGCAAGTGATGGTGAGAGGATTTAAAATCGTCTATAGTGCTCTCGAATGCAAAAGAGCTAGGGCATTCTTCAGATGCTTTATATTCCATTTTGCCTTAGATTATGTATATTGACATATGAATCAGTAAAGCTCCTGCCCATTGTGAATCTGATCCACACAGACCAAGAAGATCCCGTGTCTCAGTTTAGGGAGGAAAGGGGAGAATAGAAATTAGCAGAGTTTCTCATTCTGATTGCTGGACTGTGTGTGTGTCTGTGTGGGTATTCTAGGTGAAGTTAAATTACGATTTGCCGTGATGCCCTACACAGTTGCATATCCTATTGGTATTCATTGTCTGGTCTCACAATTGAAGAGTGGCTACTTGTGCAGGGTACCAGCATTTTATTTTGGTCAGCTGAGTGTCTGAGCCACACAGAAACCCATCACCATGCTTAAAAGTATCCAAACCAGACTGAGAGTTCCACATGTGCATGCTACCACAGTTGGTAGTTTCCCTATGTCTGGGAGGCAACCAGCAGATGAAGAGAAGGGGAACAACTGGAAGGAGGAAAATGAATATATAACTAGCCTGCAGTGTTGTACAGTGTTCTTAATATACCTGACAATCTATCAGCAGAGCTACAGCACCTGAATGAATTATGTTCTAACTTGCAGAACATAAATTTCATGTTTGTGCATGACACACATCATTTACACCTTTGACTCAATGCACCATAGATGGGATATGTTTGCGCCATCTCAACGTTGAGCGATTTCAGGGCAAAGTATACCTTGCAGCTCCTTACCTGAACCAAAGGGTTAGATCGCAAGGTCGGAAACCTCCTGTTTGCTTGGCAGGATGATCAATTCGAAATGAAATTGCAATTTTGGCAATTTCCGTGATGGAGGCTGTTCAATATCTCCCAGCAGCAAGATGAAGAACGACGTCGGCAGCTGAGGGAGAGAGCTCGTCAGCTAATTGCAGAGGCTCGATCTGGTGTGAAGATGTCTGAACTTCCAAGCTACAATGAAATGTCTGCCGAAAAGTTGAGAGAAAGGTCAAAGGCAGCTGGAGGTTAGTAATACTTACAGCAAACACTGCAAATTAATTCTCCTTTGTTCTTTTAAGTGCTGTTTTTTTTATATAAGTGTTTATTTCAATCTTTGTGAAATTGTAATTAAGGTTAGTCCTCCATACAAGTACTGAATAAAATCCTGGAACTGTGTTGTGTATTGTTGAATGCTTGAAGCAAATTACATCCCAGTTTTCTCAGCAATAATAAAATTACAATTACAGTAAGTTGCCTTGATAAACAATATGCATTTATGATAACTACTGTTGTCACACTGCAAGAAAATTAATATCCCACAGTAGTGTACTCGATTGTACTTCTTACCCTAGAACCCCAGGGTCCTGAATACATGTCTCTTGCTCCATCAAGGACGAGAGTATGAGATAATAGTTCTGAAATTCATCTGTGACCCAAATTATGTATCACCGTTCCCAACGTGGTGTGTTCCTGATCTCAACTTGGTTGCAAGTGTCAGTTACGCAATGGGGACCGGTGTCTTTGACTTTTCTATAGCTCAAATTCTCATTACAACTGATCTCTGAGACGTTGAACTGTCAAAGAAAATGTAAACCCCCCAACTTGAATCTGTGGTTAGTGGAAACTCACATTAATCAGGGTAGGATCCTAATGCCCGCTTTTTAGCTACATCACGTTTGTTTTTAAAACTTTATGATAGAGGGCAGACTGGTCCAGGAACAACAGTATTGTTGAACTCAACCTACAGCCCTTTGTGTTAAGCAACTCCACCAAATGGCTGGTACCTTTGGCTGTGTTGCATTAAACTATCAGTAATATCTATCTGTGAATTGTGTAAACCATGTGTAATGAATGCGTATGCAGGAGATGCATCTGTAATTCCATCCATACAAATATTTACCTTGGATCACACAGATCAAACAATAGACAGGGTAATTAAACCATTTTTTCTCTCATATAACTTTTCTCTCCTATTTATCTCCTAAAAACATCAACATGACAGTCTGAAAATGGCAGTAACCCTTTGGTACATCCTCAAATGGTTATACTTCATTTGATTCAATTGTGAATGTCAATCAGCAAGCCATGCAAGTAGGGACAAGCACAGCCAAGCATTCCAACATCCACCCAACATCTATACACTTGTACTTCCAAAAAGAGTCATTGGATAGCTTTCGGGAGCTGGAACCATGGCTGATTGTTCTTTTTCTCTCCTTCTTTAGCCCTAAGGCACTGAGGCTAATTATTCACCTCAGACACAATCAACTAACCCAGCACAGACCAGGGTCGAGCCTCGGACCTTCTTGATTGAATTATTTGTTGTGCCTTTTATATTGCACCAAGCGGGGTAATACCTGCAGCATTTCTGAGAGCAGATTGAGGTGGCAGCTGTGGTTCTACCGGCCCCTCTTTCTGCCCTCAGACGTGGAGAAAGCAGGGTTCTGTATGTGCGTACTAAACGCCTCACACAGTTCTGCTCACTGTCCTGCTAATGAAATAGAAAACAACACAATCAGCTCTTTTCTAACACTTTGAAACCATCTGAGCACTTTTCTTTTTTTTCCAACTTTGTTTCAAATTTAAAATGAAGACAAACTCCAGCATTTTTCACTAGTTCCTTTGCTTCTTTTTCTTAAACTATTTTGACATTCAGTTGGAACTCTAACAGTCCCTCCAGATCCACTGGCTATTTTTCCGCAAGGACACTCTGGCCTCACCCTGTGTGCATTTTTTACCAGGGTCTCTGGATAGCTATTAGGAAGAATGCAATGTGATCACCAAACCACTTCCTTGGCTGATGTCAACTAACACAGCATAGATTGGGAATCAAAGCTTTGACCTGCTGGCCTGGATGGTGTATTTGTGCTACACCAAATCATGTATTAATCCACTAGGCAATCATTGAAGGTTCACCAGTTTCTTTTGCTGGTGATACCTGAGGGCTGATTGTTAGATTGTGGAACTCTGAAGCCAAATGTATAGTTTAACACATTTGGCTTCTGACGAATGTGGGTTCTGACGAAGGGTCGTGGACCCGAAACGTTGACTCACTTTCCTTTCTCCATAGATGCTGCCTGACCAGCTGAAGTTCCCAGCAACTTCTGTTTTTGTGTAGGCTCAGAAATTGCTTTGAGAATATCTTAAACGTTGTCGTGACACTGTAACAATGGCTTTCAATTTTGCATGAATTAACGAAAAACTGATTAATGGGGATATAATACAATGGGGAAATGCTAATCAATTATTAATTGTTTGTTCAATATTCTAATATGCTATGATTCCTTTTCTTGAATTTTTTTATTCTTACAGATGATAGTGTTGGGGTAGATACTAATGAGGAAAGTCCTGAATGCTCCTTTTTGGGAGGTGGAGATGAACATACTAACATACAAACTGAACTTGATTCTTTTGGTAATTTCAATTCTGTGTTGAGCTGCTTAGCCTGCGTAAGATAATTGTTGGTACCTGCATGGTTCTTTCCTGCCCGCTGTGCGTTTGTATGTCGTCTGCTCTTTTTCATTAAACGTACGAACAGGAATAGGCTATTCGGCTCATAAAGCCTGTCCAACCAGTTAGCAACTGATTTCCAGCTTCCCGCTTTCTCTCCAGTTTTGCACTAATCTCTGACAACAAGAACTGTACCACTGAATGCATATGTGCATGTCAATTACATTCAGAATTCTGGTTACAGTGAGCTTAACATTAATAATCACATCAATATCAATGAGGTCAATTCAAATAGAAAAGTAAGTAAACTGTGTTTCATACTTAACACTGTGTGAGTTGCTAGGGAAGAGCAACATTAAAATAACTAAGAATTAACTTACTAACCAGATGGAAAAAAGTAACTTCCATACTTAAATTAACATTGAGCCATTTTGCTTTGATACAACTAGAAAATTGTAAGCGCTCTGGGACACTGCCCAGCTTGAGGGGAGCTATATAAATGCAAGTTGTTGTATTGAAAATAACAATGCATTTAAGTTCTGAGATTCTATCTTCTTTTTCCTTCCCAAAGGAAAAACAGGAACCAGATCAAAACTAATCTGTAGTACATACTATTATGATTCTATTTGTTAACTGTTTTATTTTGGCAGCAACGCTAAACATAGTTAGCTAAGGACATTGGTGTCAGAGAATAGAGAACAATGAAATAAATCACAAACTGCAAATTTTTAACAATAGATGAAACATTTTTTCATTTAAATTGAATGATTTGCTGAGGGGAACAGAATAATTTATCTGCTTCTTGTTCGATTCGCTTCCTGAAGGCTACTACTAATGCTATGATAGTGCTACAAGTGTCAGCAGGCTTTCAGGATGTCTCCCAAGTGGCAATTCTCTATGTGTGATTCCGAACACTCAATGTTGGCAGGATATTTCACCATTGGGGACTGTAAATCCGAGCCCGATTCTTCATTAGACATCCACGTTTCTGGCAAGAGTCGCTGAATAACGAATAGGAGTGGGAACCCTGACTGATATTGTTCCCCTCTTCAAGTAAACATTGAAGCTAATTTTAGCAGCTCATTGTCAATCAATAAGCTCAGTACAAACACACATCAACAATGATGCCCTCCTGGTCTGCATGGTTCAATTACTCATCACCAGAGTGAATTTACCACCAAGCAATTATCGTTGAGATCCAGCATATTAAAAACTACATTTTGACAACAGTTCCTATTATATAGTTGAAGAAATGTGCTGGGATCTCTTGAAATCTATAATCTTTTTATTGGTGCTTAACTTTAATTAGGGACACCCATAGTTTGCTCCGAACATGTATTTACACATGTTTTTCGCAAGTTGCGCGATACAAATAGCACGATAGACTCTGTTGTCTACCAGAGCAATACATTTCATCACTTGTCAAACTAACCATAACCCAAGGCCATTGGTGCATTACAATTCTACATGTATTCCAAACAAAATATGTTTCAGAAATGCATTGAGTGTTATAGATTTTATGTTTCTCTGATTCATGTCTTCCACACAGAAACCCAATCAATGACTTCCATACTTACATAACAGAATTTATAAGTTCAGAACTATTCCTATCATTGTTGTGTTTCCTATTCAAACATCAGAAATGGCTATATTACCGTAATTAATCCTAAAATAATTAGAATTATTAGGATTATCATTTATAAGTATTATAAATATTTAAAGTAAAACTCAAATTATAAGCACTTTAACAGTGCTTTATTTGAGCACAAATTCAAGACAACACCACCAACAAATTACATTTGAAAAGTGCTTTAATGTCAAGAGCACGTCCGAAGGCACTGGACAGTCAGGGATTTGGACCCGAGCAGGAGGTTGGGACCAAGGGTGGTGAAGGGCAGGAACGGTAGGGGTAGGAGGGTGGCCGAACGCAAGGTCGAAAAGGAGGGTCGAGATGTAATGGGATGATGGGATGTAATGAGACCAAATGGGTTTGAATTTAATCATTTAACTTGAACACTTTTCAATTAAGAGTGTTCAGTTCTTAACTGTTTAAAAAGGAGGGAACAGGGACTAGCTAACAAGTAAAAGAGACTGGAGTGAGTGCACAGAACGTAGATTTTATTTTGCTTACATGCGAGATACCTGAGAATAGACATCTTTTCGCTCTCCCAGTACTCCCATGTGAAACACTGCCTAGCTCTTGGAAATGCACAAGGCTACTTTAATAAAAGATAGGGGAATATTTGTCATCACTTTACTTTAATGTTGCTTAATGTTCAGCAATTCAGTTGTATTATGGTCTGTGAACAATATAAAAATTACCATCACTTGCTTACTGTGGTCATATTTTTGATAAATTTGCGTTGCTTCAAACTAAAAACGTGAATTTGCAGCACTGCAGCTTTCAGTTGTTGCATTAATGAATTATTTTGGTGCTTTGCGATTTTGAACGGCATACATCGGTGACAACTCCAAATGCTTTTTAAGTATTCACTAAGCATGATGTCAGCATTTGCATTCTTAGCCAATTCTTGCATGCGTGTGACGGTATTGCACTTTAGTAACCTTCATTATTGCTTAACAGAACCAGATGCACCTGCCGGTTTTCTATTTTTTTTTCCTAAATTACTGCTGTTTTTAATGCTAATTCATGAAGACATTTAATATCCCAATTTACTGCTCACCTGTTAATTTAGGAGGTCACAACAGTAGGCTGGTGGACTTGAAGCTTAAGAAGCTCCTAGAGGCTCAGCCACAGGTGGCAAATTCACTATCTACTGCTGTGCAGAAAGTCTCCACTGACGGTGCAGAACAAGAGGAACTCAAGGTTGGTTTGGACAACTATCTTTTTTTGTTGAGCTTACAGGATGGTTTGTTTTTAAGCTTGAAAAACGTAACACATTTGCAATAATTCTGTTATTTGGTTGCCAGAATAACTAGACAAGGATAAATCATTTGGCATTTGATTTACAGCCTGTACCTGAATTCTGGGCAAAGTAGACATGGCTGTTACCTCACAGAAAGAAAGAACACTATGGTTCTCTGTAATGTATGGGGGTAGTGAGAGAGATAATGTTTATGAGGAGAAGAGAGAAATGCTAGGCCGGCATGTTGTATGTGGGGAGAGGCAAGAAAGAGGAACGAAGTGGTACCGCCATATTATAAGTGCTCCGAGTTGCTGCTGCAGGTGAAGGGCGCTATATATAAATGTCTTCACTCAGAGGATCTTTAGATGGTGTGGAACTCATTCCTATAAGTGCTTACTGAAGCGAGATCAACAGAATAATTCAAAACGGAACTGGATAAGTGCCTGAACAGTAAAAACATTAAGGGATACACAGGGGAAACAGCTGAAAGTGGGATTAATAATTAAAAGATGATTTAGAAAAACAGTTAACAGTGGTGCAGACGTGATGGGCCATGTGACCACTTTCTGTGTTGAAAATGTCCATTTCTATGAAGAAACATCTGGAAAGCAATTTTACATATGAGAAAAGTAGGAGCAGTTGAGCTTTAATGTCAGTGGGGAGAGGGGAAGAGACAGAAATGGATAGTGGTACTACCGTGCTGCACAACACTTTAATTGGGCATAATTGGGGGAAAGACAACTAATAATAATGAATAATAATTGCATTTGATATAGGTCCTTTTACATCAAAAGTCTCAAAGTGCTTCACAGGGGGTTGCTGTCAAGTGCAGTGACTGTATTTTGAAGGCAGACAGTTTGTACATGGCAGATATTTTGCGCACAAACGGCCATGAAGTGAATGACTCTTGTCCAGAAGATTGTTTGCCCGGACTAGGAGAAACTTCCTTTTTTTTAGAGGATTTTTAACATTCATCTGAGCAGGCAGATTTAGTAGATCTCAGTTTACCGTCTCATCTGAAGGATGGCACCTCCAACAATGCAGTGCTTCCCCCGGATCTACAATGCAGTACTTTGACTCTGAGCCCAACAACAGCAACTTGCATTTATATAGCGCCCTTCATGTGGGGTAGCGTACCGGAGCTCAATCCCCTTGAATTCACAGCCTCAGACCTGGAGACAACTGAATAAACCCGATACTTCCTATACTGTTTTATTTCACAGTTGGCATAAAAGTTACACGTGTTGAAGGGAGGGGAGAAGGAGTAATAAAGGACAACCATACTTTGTCATAGCTCCCATAATGTCGTATTCCATCCTGAGGCAAAACAATGCAGTTTTGCTTTTCCCTTCCTCCAAAACATTTTCAACACTGGTGAAAGGGACCCTAGGAAGGAAAGAACAGCCATGCTCCAGTTGGTTTTAGGGTTAACTGTATGTATTGTAACAACACATTTAGTCGCTGGCTGAATGTTTGCATCCCAACCAAATGGCTGCAGGTTCAATCCTTGTAGCTGCATGTCACTCTAATCCACCTGTCACAGTTGTGATGGGTTTTGTCAGTTCTGAGCTACTGGAGAGACTGACTCGAGAGTGAATCATTCAACCCTGGGGGAATTAAAAATTGGCTATTGCCCATCTCACCCGACTAAAATATTTCTTGGTGTAGACCGGCAGTTATTATGAGCAAGTTCGGGCAATGCACCATCCAGTAAACGCCTGTACAAAACAGAAAAGGAACACAAGAGGGAAATTTATGTTTTTGAGATCTGCAGTTGTCGGGACCAAAATTATATATTTTTTTCTCTTCCCCGGAATATTCTGTCAAAATTCTGCACTTTTCTCTCTCTTGACTGTGTTGAGATCAGTGTTCGTGCTTATGTGGAAATCTTGTGCAGTAAAACCCTGGCTTACTGGACTCCGAGCAACCGGAATTTGGCCTGAAACTGAACTTAAAAAATATAAAAATTCCATGAAACAAAAATTTCCACCCATCTTACTGTAGATTCCCACCAGCCCAACTCTCCCAGCGTACACCAACACTGCACTGAGCAGCCAACGTGATTCTTTTCCCGCCTCACCGTCCTTGCCAGCTTTCACAGTGGCCTGCGATATCGACTCTGACTGTTTGAATCCCGCAAGCAGAAGATTGCTTATTCAAATATTTTAAAAAATGCAGTGCCAAAAAATGCCAATAAATACCAGTAACCGGTAAATGCCGGGGGGTAATAGTTCCTTAAAAAAAAATTGTCACTCAATCCATGACTGTTTGTGGGACACTGCTGTGTGTAATTGACTGCCGCATTTCACCCACAAAATATACAGTCAATTCACTTCACAGTATATTCTGTGAAGCACTTTGAGACGTCTCGAAGATGTGATAAGACGCTATATCAAATGCAAGGATTATTATAGTGCTGGCATTGTAATTACACATAGCTGGAAATTCCGGCTTGCCTGACTGGATCTCCTCCACACCATTAGTCCAACTAACCGGGGGTTTTGTGTATATGGAATAATAATAATAGTAATAATCCTTGCATTTGTTATAGCGCTTTTCACACCTTCTAGACGTCTCAAAGCACTTCATGTAAAGTGAATATACTGTAAAATGAATTGTCTGTATATTTGTGGGCGAAACACAGCAGCCAATTGCACACATCAGTGTCCCACAAACAGTCGTGGATTGAGTGACCAATTTAATGTTTTTTTTCTTGAGGGATTATTATCAGGCGTGTAGAGTAAGAAAACTTGCCCAAAGTTTCGCCCTGCCGGGAATCGAACCCAGGTCTCTCGCTTGCTACTGAGCTACAGGACTCCATATGTAATGATAGCAGCTTCTGTTGAGTCAAAGGGGGGCGCGGGTGGGCTAGGCCAAAATTTAAAACCCAATTGAATATTGCAACCCTTTCTAACAACTACATTGCGATACGCCAATAGAAACTTAATAAAACGGTATGATATGATCTCTCAGTGCATACAGAAAATGTACAGAGTTACAGAGGATAACCTGCTGGGGCATAGCGATGTCTAGTATTGAAAGAATTTATCATGAATCATTCCCATTTTGTGAGCAATGCAGTCAATATATTTTTAAACATTTGTAAGGACGTAATGTTTTTCGCAAAATGTTAGGGTGGGGTGATAGGGGCTGGTCTTTACAGTCCCAGCCTCTCACAATGGGTCACCACTGAAACGTACACGTGAATGTTTGTACAGAACACCATTATTGGTCAAGAGGACCAGTAGCTTGAGTTTTAGTGAAAAACTAAGATATAATGGAAGGCTTCATTATTCGTGCTTTCACTTTTTAATAGCAAACGGTTTGGGTATATATTGGAGAACTGTTTTCAAACTGGTTTGCACAACCGCCCAAACCTTTGATTTGCAGCCCCATATTTCTGTGCAATTGTGAAAAAAAATTAATGCACGAACAAAGGACTTAAGATGTAACTTCTTTGCCCCATAATAATTTCACGGATAAAGCACAGATGTAGCAAAAAAATTATCGGTGCTGTTTCCAGTACCAAATGACTAATACATTCCGGTAGAACAAGTCCTGAGGATTTAATGAGTCCTGCTTTCTCACACCTTATGCTTACTTTCACATTGTGAAAAGGTTAATGTGTGTGCAACTGAGCATCCTCCTGTTTCATCCAAATTTCAGAATCGCACTGCGCATGTAAAGACAGAACTCGAGTGCAATATTCTGGATGCAGGTGAAACACTGTGGACTTCATTAACTCAGAGCTTCATTGCTTCCATTTCAATGCCTCTGAATACTCAGACCGCAATTCAGGCTGCAGGTCTGAACATAAAGAAGGTATGAACAGGTACCTTGCCTGAGCAGAGGGTTAGTTTGTGGCATTGTATGCAGCATAGCAGCATTGTACTTGCAATGGGACACAAAATTGCAGGAAAAAACAACAAATTGCGTAGTGCCTTTAACGTCGGGAGGACGTCCCAAGACCTGAACAAAAACTGAGTGATCCTGACCTATATAGAGATTTCCGACGTGAAAGGTTCTATACAAATATAATTTTGTTGATGTTGTTGAATGACAAAATCCAATCTATTCAGAATAAATAAAACTCAGCTTTTCATTCATTCTGACATATCTAAATGCAGAGTTCCTATCAGTATAAACTAATAGGCTCTACAAGTGGAATTTATACCGATCGTAATATAGAGCCATCTCGTGCCTCCTAGTGGTGTAATTGAATCAATAGAATGTAAACTGAATTGGAGTCACTATTTGTGAAAAGAAGAGCTTTAAGAAGCTCTAAATGCACCAACACGTGGTTTATGTATATTATTTTTTAAATTCGTATTAGAACCATTTAGTAGAGAGAGCAAGGCACAGATGGCTTAATGATACTAATAATCCTTGTTTTGATATAGCACCTTATCATGCCATGGATACATCCCAAAGCGCTTTACAGAATATACTGTAAAGTGAATTGACTGTATATTTTGTGGGAGAAACACAGCAGCCAATTGCACACAGCAGTATCCCACAAACAGTCGTGGATTGAGTGACCAAAGTATTATTATTTTAATTTTTTTTGAGGGTTTATTAACTCTGGAAAGCCATCCGCCAATCGACTAACAACCGGGTTCCTACATACTGCTCGGATAGGCTTGGATGTCTTTCATTCACTTACTTCTATTTTAATGCCTCCGAATGCTCAGACCTCAATTTGGGTAGCAGGTTTGAACATAAAGAAGGTAATTGATGAGCAGGTACCTTGCCAGTGCAGAGGGTCTCAGTTGGTTAGTTTGTGGGGGGAAGGGGTGTCTGGGCTGACGCACTCTTGTCTCACAGCAAGTCACCTTCCTTAAATTCTGCATTCCACATCCCTTCCCAGTTGATGGTAGATGTGTGCAGGTGAGCACTCTTATTGGGAGCTTTAAAATATGAAAGCAATGTTGTGATGTAACAATAAAAACAAGTTTAGAAACTGGGATATAATTCCTTAGATTTATTAGTTTTCCAAGCCTCTTTACGAATGCTGCACTGCCAACATATAAGTATTCCAGTTTTGATTGATAGGCTAATTCATTGAGGCAGCTGGTGAAGTACATCAGCATCAAATATTCTGACAATCTAGTTTCGGTAACACATAAAATTTTATGTGTTATATATATATACATATAAAATATATGGACAGACATTTTCAAATCCATAAGGAGAAGGCAGATTTATTGTTCTGCCTGTGCAGGGTACAGATAGTTTCTAGGTGCATGCAAATGGATTATTAAAAAAAAAGCACTGGTTCCCTGACTCTTTAAGTATTATTAATGAACACAAACCTGTTCAGCTGCAAAATTAAAAATGTTTGGTATCTAAGCCAAAACGAAGATTATGAGCTTCTCGGAAGCTTGTGTGGCATTTACTCTAGGGATCAAAGTGTTTTGCTGTCCTTATGAATTTCACATTATTTGCAACAAGAAAAGCTCGGAAATGAAAAAGTGGACAAACCATTGCAACAGTCTTAATGTAAGGATTGTTGCAGCAAATTATTCGTCGTCAGCATGCTTCTGGCTTTGGGGCAACTGCAGTTGTATAACTTTTCATCCACCTGCAAAATCTTTGGGGACTGCTGATACTGGCTGAAAGGATTTCCTTCCACAGATATGGTGGGTCTTTGAAGTTGAAAAACAATGACTTTCATTGCTTTCCCTTACACTGTCAGTTCCTATAAGTCAGTGATGAAAGTGAGGTAGCAGCAGAGGACTTGTGTTTTCTTTAAACAAAGAGGAGCTCAGATCAAGTCTGATTTTACATTCAATTTAGCTTTCTGCAGTGGATTTAATGTGAGACGGAGCTGGCCTGAGAAAAACACAATGGATTGGAAAGCTAACTGAATTAACCCAGCTTAAAGGAATAAATTTGTAAAGTGGCAGAAGTCCCTTGCCATAAAAAGGTTTCCTAAAATGGGATTTGCTAGCTAATCACACTGATATTTTTACACCTTACCAGGCTTAAAACGATCTGTATTTGTTTACTAAAGAAAGAGCTCAGTAACATGTTAGGAGGAAATGTGGATTGTTCGACACTTTAAGAATGTTTCAAAGCCTCTGTGTATTTATGTTTGTGTACAAATTCTCTGAGGAAAATATTTAAAAACCAGTTTAGCAATAATTAATCTCTAAATCATTATCTTTTTGGATCATATTTTTATATGTATTTCTTGCACTTTTATTATAGATTCTATTTAAGCTTCAGATTTTTAATACTTTTACGCAAGGTGCTGTATGATTCAGAGGGACTAGTTTTCACGATGCCCTTAAACACACATAAAAATGTTTTTGTTCAGTTACCTGCATTTATTTATGACAACAATAACATTTAGTTTTAATGTATTGCCAACTGCACTTAGAGAAATTTTAACAATTTTGTTCTGCCAATGTAGCAATTGTTTTTGCCTTTTCTAAAAAAAGGTTTGAAAAGCTATTTTCTACTGGTCTGCTTACAAGACAGATTCAATATGCATTTGTAATGCCGTTTAGATATTTGTAAATGAGGCATTCGGTGATTGTAGGAGAGGATAAACTGTTACCTTCTCCTGAGGATTCTGTATCCCACACCTCCTTAAGGCAAGAGAATAGGCCATTAGAGAACCCCCTCATTACTTATTGTCTTAATGCAGAGAAAGGGCACAGCCTTGGTAGCATTTGATAACCAGTTTCAACATTCAGCAGGCTCAGCTATTAGTCATGCATCTCAGCCTTTTCCTATTTACTTTCAAAACACTTAGAAATAATACAAGATTAGCAGCAGAATGTGTGTTTTTGGGTACATGGTACCCTGGTATCTGCTATTTCCACACACCACAGTTGTTGGGTCCACTGGGACTGTTTTGTTTTGATAGAATATTTTGCTGCTTTGAGATGCATAAATAACAGGAGCATAGAAAGAGCTGAAAATGTGTTTATTCTTCGAAGGTTTTCTTCTAAATCAGATACTAGAAAGATGTAGACAATGAGAATCCAGCTAGGTATTTTTTCTTTGTTCCTTTCCCCTAAACTTTAGTGACACGGTAGACTGCTACAATTGGACTAAATTAGAAATGAGCTATTCTTATGAGACAAGTCTTAAGACACTATCACGTAAATTGATAATTCTTACTGATTATTATATCAACAACAAGTTGCATTAATGTAGCTGTTCACATAGGATAAGGTTTCGGAGCATTTAACAAAGACCGTGTTGAACCATAGGTGCGGTCAAAGAGGTAGATTTTTGGGCAAGTCAAGCATGCCGGAAAAGGGAACTAAAACTATTTTCACAGGCTTAATACTAAATACACTGCAGGTAGGAAAATACATTGAAACAGAGAAATCTGTTTTTTTTTGTCCCATAACAATCCATTTTGGGAATCAGACCATTTAATTAAAATCAGGATCTGGGTTTAAAAAAAATCTAATTTGTAATTCCTGGCAGGATGAAATAGAAGATCTCCGTGCGGAGCGGTTACATAAAGCAACCGAACGTTTGCGGACTCCTGTAGTGTTCAATAAAGATTCAGCAGTGCGGAGAACCCATCTTCAGTCATTTAGCCAGTACGTGGAAAACAGACCAGGTAAGAGAGTCTTTAGATAAGAATATTAAAATACTATGTAGCATTTAATTCTAATTTGCCGTCACAGGGAAGCTCTTTAACTAGCTGAAATTAACCTTCACTATCCAGGTAAATCATTTCCAATGCTGAAGGTGGACCTAATAATTTTTAAACAATTTCTAAATCTGGCTTATTTTTTCTCTTTTTTCAGAGATTAAAAGGCAGAGATCAATACAAGAAGATCCAAAGAAAGGAAATGAGGAAAAAACGGCAATATGTGAAACAACTCCGAGAAAGCCATCAGAAGATGAAGTACTTAGTGTATATATAATTTTTATGTGGTTTGGTGATTGCTGATTATTTCTCAGCCATATAAGGAAATGGTGTCTTTATTGGTAAAAAATGAGATGTTGGGTTTTCAGATGTCAATCTTGCACATTTTCAAAGCAAAGCGAAAGGGGTGCACCACTGAATTAGTCTGCAGTGTAGTGATAATTGTCAGATAAAAGATGAATTTTTCAGACTTGCAGAGCCTCAGCATCCTTGAGACGTTTCCATCAGGGCACTTCCCATAAAGAGATTCCGGTATTGATCTACCAGGAGGATTTTAATTATGACAAAAGTAGATACTGCAAGCTTCAGTTGGAATGAAAAGTCACAGGAGACCTGCTAGAATTTCCCAGACAACCCATTTTGTTGGCATGGGTTAATGGGTGTTCAACCTTTCCATTATACAGATCAGCCATGAATTACTAGCTGAATGATGTTTGCATTAATATAATATATATGATAATTTTTTTCACTTAATTAATGGGGAGGTTCAGCACAGTGGGAAAATGGGCTGATCATCTGTAAAATTGATTCGTGAGGAAACTGTGATGGATGGTAGGGAGGAAGCTCTTATTGATAGACAGGTGCTGATATTCAGGAAAGAGCTGGGACCTGTATTCTTTCGGCTGAGCTATTTCACCCTCTGTAATTTTTAGATTGATCATTGCTGTACACAAAAATGTAATGTGTCCCGTAGGTGGTATCAGTGAGTATTTATCGTACAGAAAAGAATGTTATATATATATATACATATACATCAAATGCAAGGATTATTATTATTATTATGTTTTTTATTATACCTGATGAAACATAATCCGAATTCACACAATTTTGTGAAATATTACCTCTTTAGGCAAAATATAAAAACGGAAGCTTTTTTTTTACTCTTTTATATTTTAGATTCGGAAACGCGTGATGCCTTTTTAAAATTGTATTCTGTGTATTTTATATACAATATATTTTTATATTGTTTAATGTAACATTTTTTTCTTCTTGTTGTGAACAGAAAGGGTTCAAAGACACCAGTCAGTATGTTGTAGGGGAATTGGCAGCACTGGAGAATGAGCAGAAGCAAATTGACACCCGGGCGGCAGTGGTGGAGAAGCGCCTTCGCTATCTCATGGACACAG